TGGGGCGGGGGTACGCACGGAGGCGGCGGGCCGGGCAAAGCAGGAGACGGGTCAGGCCTCGAGGGAAAGGGGTCAGGGGTGGCGCGGGGCCTTTGGGGGGGGGGCATAAAGTGCAGCCGGAGGGGTCTGGGGCTATAGCCGTAAGTGGGCAGAACCGAGGAGAATTCGTGAATGCCGAGCCTCCTTCTCTCGGCCAGGCGGAGTAGCCACCGAGCTCCACGCTGCCTTGCGTGGTTTCTGGTCGGAGGACTTCCCTGAGGGCTCTCGGGGCCTCCCACCCCCTCTCCCCCACACGCAGCGGCAGGGTCCTCCGGTGAAATCGCTCTTGGCCCTTGCGCCAGGCGCCCCACCTTTTCCCGGGCTCTCTCGCTCCCCGGTGAGGTTCGGGGCATCCGTAGGACTTTGTCAGCGGGGCGGGTTCCTCCCCTTGGCCTTGCCCGGCCCGTCCGCCTGGGCACGGAAGTGGGTCCTCCGCTGGGAGAAGACGAGGCCTGACCAGCCTGGGAGGGAAACGTCGGAGGAGCAGGAGGCAGCAGAGAGGACGGAACGGGGAGAAACCCCTCTCCTCCTTCACCAGCTGCTTCTGGTCGGTTGAGGCCCAGGAGGCAGGCTGTTTTCTGGGATCTGACCGGGCTCTAGGTTCCTCCTCCCAGCCGCTGCCCTGTCCTTGAGTCGGAAGGAAAGAACCCTGCGCGCAGCGCACGGTGGAGCGCGCCTCGGCTCGGCAACAGGCCTGGAGACCTACAACGTGCGGTGGCTCCAGGGCAGTGTCGGAGAAGTCCGTCTCCTTCCTCCTCGCACCCAGGACTTCACTGCCCCATTTCTGCCCCGGGCAGCCAACTGCTTCTGGCAGCCCTTGGTCGCAGACTCGGGGCTGCCTGACTCTGGACAGTCAGCTCCCAGCTGCGCCCTCCTCCGGGCCTAAAGCCCACGCCACGGTTTGGAAAGGTTCGAGCCAACAGAAGATCGGCCCCTCAAATCCCTCTGCTTTGAACCCACAAGGTGGTTCTAGAGCACCTGAAGAAGTCAGCCCCGGGGAAGGGGGCTGGGCTGGCGAGGTGCCCCAGCCCTCTGGCAACCACGCAAGAATGGCCCTGGGGGCTGGGGGGGGGAACAGAGCCTCTGCTGTGAGGATGTGACCGTAGCAAGCAATCGGTGGAGGTTCTTTTTGTCATAGCAACCAGGCCATGCTGAGGACAGCAATGCCAACTTGAGGAAGGGCTATCAATTGTCTGCTCCCCACTCCTCAGTACGTTCGTGCCCCCACCCCCACTTACCTGTCCTAGCAAAAGACACATTTTGGACTCTTGCACGTTGCAATGCTGAAGACAGGTTAGGGTTAGGCATTTAGAACAGGAAGGGACAGTCAAAGAGGAACTCTCCTCTGTATGTGGGTGAAGGTACAGCATTTTCATACACCCCCAATACCTGGGAGATTGGTGGGCTTCTAGCTACCCTGCATGATGGGTGGGTGTCATCAACTCAAGCAGTTTGCCACAGCATAAAATACCGTGTTGACAACAGAGGTGTCTTATCACTTGAGGCCAGTGGCTACGTTTGGCACAGTGAGACCATTATGTTCCCTCTCACAGAAGGATGGCCAAGGTGGGTCTGGCCAGGTATGCAACCCCCCCCCCCGAAGGTCCTGCAAGGTTTGGGTGCAGCTCCTCCATTTACTCCCTAGAAATACCTCTCAGATTTACGGGGGCCCAGACGTGTTGTTGGAAAGCAAAGCCAGTGCTTGCTTTGCATTTAGGCTCTATATAATCTAAAATCGCCTAACGAGACAAATATGGGGCAGAAAGCTAGATGGAGGACAGAAAGGAAGGGGCTGGGAGCCCTGCAGTTACCTGAGTGAGCCTACCCCACAGGGTTGTTCGAGGCTGAAGTATGTGTAGGAAGACCCCCTCTCTCCTCCGAGCTCTTTGAGGAAGGCAGGAAGCACAAATGCACGGGATCAGAGCAACAGCAAAGGTCCCATCGCACAGTCCCACGTGCCCCTTCATAATGAGGCAGGAACCCAGCAAAATAATGGCAGGGCGAAAGAAAGGCACGCAAGCACTTTGCTTCTCTCTCACACACCTTTAAAAAAAAAAACCAGAACCACAGATGCTTGGATCATTAACCCCAAAGATCCAGCAGCCCCAGGCTGGCTCTGCAAATACCAGCAGTGGCTGTGTCAGCCCAGCGCCCACCCCCCGGGCTGCGCTGGCCCATTGCCTGGACGCGGGGTCCGCTCAAGATCCTTGGAGACCACAAACCCGCTGCCCGGCCCACTTCCTTGGCCTCCCCAAGGATGTCCTGGGATGTGCAGAGTCATCCCAGGGCAGCTGGCAGAGCTGGGCTGCTGGGTCAGTGAGAAACGTCTGCCCCCAAGCTGCGCAGACAGGGCTGTGCCTCACAAAGGGGCATAGTGCTGTCCTGAGGCTGCCCTTCCATGTCGACATCCAGAAGAGTCTGGCGGGACTGGAGAGTTCCTGGGGAGGGGGCTGCCTTCGGTATCCGGCCCAAGGAGATGAGTCTCCAGGGGTCAAGGCGGGGCCGGGCTGAGGCCGGGCGAGGCCGGGGTGCAAAGGCCAGAGTCTGCGGACGCTGTGCTGCAGTGGCACTCGGGCTGGGCCGTTCCATGGCCTTGCTGGGGGCTTGGGCGGCTGTGGGCGAGGGAGGGTCTTGTGGAGATGGGAAAAGCAGCAGGGCTTCCTGGGAGCCTGGAGGGAGAAAAATAAAGATGGCAGAGAGGAAAGAGACTACCCTGCTTTTTGTGGAAGTCAATCCCACTCCCCACCAAGAAACCCTGATTTAATATTAGCATCTAAGCTGCCAATAGCGCCAACCCTCCGCCCAAGAGGGACCGATGGGGTCAGTTAGCATCTTCCTCTTGCCAGACCCCCTCATCGAAGATGCATCAGGAAGAACTCTGGGGGCTCAGGAGGGGTTAGGAAGACACTCTCACCCCTTACGCTGCTCAGACTACACCCAGCCTCCAGTTGACCCCCACCTTGGTGGCTGGGTCCGTGGGGACTCTGGTGGATGGCTCCCTCAGATGGTGTCCGGCGGTGCGCTCGGCTGATGGCCTGAGTGGCGCTCAAGTGGGTGGGAGTGAGAGGCCGGTGGGGGTCCTTCTTGAAGCTCTCCACGGTGACGTCCACCAGGGGGTTGCGCAAGAGAATTGAGGCAGAGCTTTCTGGGGGAGAGGGCTGTTCGTCTGGGGCTTCCTCTGGGTCTGAAGGCAGAAGCGACTTGGTGGAGTTACAGTCGGAGAGGGACAGGAGGGTGACGGTGCTGGGCGGTCCTGAGGAAGGGTGGAGCCTCAACCCATCTCCTGCCAGTTCGGCCAGCTCCACGCCCAGCGCAATGGAAGCCAAAATGGAAGCACAGCCCAGCAGGACGAGTTCACTGCGACGGCGACGGCGGCGATGCAGAGAGGCCGAAGCCCACTTGGGCATCTCTGCAGCAGGTGGCAGAGGCTGCAGCCGGACTCCCAGGGACAAGGGTGGCTGATCTGGGGGGTGTGAGGTGCTGGTCTCCTTCTCTGTGACCTCTTCTGGGGGGCCCAAAGGAAAAGGAAGGCAGATCTTGTGGCATAACCAGCACAGCTCCCCGGGCAGAAGCAGGATCTTGAACCTTTGGCAAGTTCAGAAGCCCCAGAGCCTGTCCATCTTCCTCCCTCCCCAGGGGCTCTGACCCTTTGTGTCCTTCTCCCCCAAGGTTGAGTTAGGGAAGATGGAAGCCCAGCAAGGAGACCTCCCCGTCCCCCCATGCCTATGTTTTGTTAACTCAGTTGCTTAGAACTGACGGCAGTTCCATTTTTGGATAACCCAATACTAATAGGGATGCTTGTGACCCATGGTCCTGTTAAACCCACAAGTAAGTGCCCCATGTAAGCCACAAATAAGTGCAAAACCAAATCAATGATAATTATTCCATGCCATTAAATTTAGGACAGCGAGACGACTGTGCAATTGTTCTGAAAAACCCGAGGCATCATGGTTATCCCCAAAAAACTATGCTTGGGGGTCAGACCCTCAGCTACCAGAGAAAGGGGTCCAGTAGCATGGCTTGGGGTGGGGGTAGAGGGAACATGTAACTAGCCTACCCATTTCCGTTAGGCTGGCAAAGCCCACTGCCAGAGGCACGTGCTTGGGGGACTTGCCCAGGTTGGGTGCACTGGATGACCACTGCTTACTCCCCTCGGCCAGGGACTTCAGCCTGTGCAGGCGAGGAAAGCAGAAGAGTGACCAACCCCCCAGCCACTCCCACACAGGATTCCCCACCGTAGCAGCTTCAGTCTGCAACCTTCCAGCCTCTCCCGGCCCTGGAACCCGGCAGTTCGTCCCTGACCCCAGGCTTCTCCCTGCCATCCAGGAAGCCTTCTGGCCCCCTACCTCTCCTCCCCACCAAGTCTCTCCTTGTGCACTGTGGAGCTTGGCCCCCAGGTCCGCCCTTTCTTCTTGGACCCCACCAGTTCCTCCTTCTTGACCAAGGTGCTCTGGCCCCACGTCTGGTTTCCATCCAAGGGAGTCACTGCAAAACCAGGGAACAGGAAACGGTGCTGCTGAGAACTGGTTCTCTGCCCGCCTGAAGTGCCCCTCCCCGGCACCACCTCCAAATCACCTCCTCTTGGGATGTAAGGGGTTGCCATCCCTGCAGGGACCTAGCCAGGAGCTGCTGAAAGGGCTTTTGGTGGCACGAGGGGGTCTGCTGACAGGGATTCTTTTATTAATTGAACCACCATCACCCCAAAGGGCAACTTTCCCACATGCCCAGCATAAGAAACGGCCTCAGGCTGTCTGCCCCCCTTGGTGTCTCCCTCCTGCCCCTCGGAAACGTCTGCTCTGCCCTGCAGGCAGCTCTCTGGAGGGCAGGGCTGGCCGGCCCTCCCCTTCCAGACCGGGAGGCTGCTGGGACTCACAGCGAATGGCGCGCAGGCGGGGGATGAGGCCAGGACTTCCTGGGGGGCTGGCTCCGTGGGTCCCCAGCCCTCTCTGCCAGTCAAGGCTAGGCGACGCTTGCACCGTGATCTTGTGCTCAAAGCCTGGGGGCGAAAGAGAGAAACGGCCCCAGCTCCGCACCTACCGCCTGCCACCCAGGCCTGCCATCTTGGCCAGAACTTCTGTCTCTGGCTGGGGCGTAACCCATGTGGGAGGGGGAGTGGAGTAGGCTGGAGGTGACTGAGTGCGAAGGAGAGGGCGAAGGAGAAGGTGGTCCCACGCCCCCCCCCCCGATGTGACCCAGCATCCCCCAACTGCGGTGGAGGCAATGCCAGCCTGTCCTCCTCAGGGCTATCCTGGCCCAACGAAGAGTCTCCGAGTCCTTCTGGGGGCCTTTGGAGCTGAAGAGCTTGGCGGCCGCTCCAGAGGACACCCCCCCCGCGCCAGACGGGGCTCAGCTTTGCAGG